CTTGGCGCTTGACGACCAGCGTTCTGCTTAGGTCGTCACTCCTCGTCTTCGACCTCTTGGCCCTCCTCTCCTCCACCTCCTTTATCATTTTTTCCTCCCATTCGGCATCAGAGTTCGCCTTGACTTCTTCCATTGACTCTTGGAATTCTTGGAATTCCGTCTCTGTGGCCTGCCTTTCGTTTTCCTGCTCGTCCTGGAGCTGGGCCTTGGAAATCGTATATTCCTAGAATTCAGAATAGAAGGAAACAGTATAATAGGTTTTTTACAATAAAATCTTTGCTTAAAGAGTAGATGATAATTATGTTTTAAAGATCCGACCTCGCGGTTGCGCCTGTAGATCTCGTGGGCCACCTCGAGCCTGGTCTCCTGGAGCTTGGCAAGTTCGGCTTCCAAGAACTCGAGGGCAGCGGGATCCTCCGTCTCAGCTTGACCTCCTGCAAGCTGCCGAGATTTCAAAGAAAGCTTACGGGTTTTCAAAAATCGTTTTACATGTGGCTTATACATGACTTTGGATAATTCAAGCCTGGAAGGTCGCCTTCTGCTGTGGTGGCTGGGACTGAGGTCGCCGGGGTAGCGGGCGGAGCGGGCCTGAGATCATGACTCAAACTTAAGGGCTAATTTTGGGTGTTTCCACTGCTACTTGGGGGTGCTTCCAGCTAAAAGGGCTTCCAGCCCCTGACAGCTTCAATAGGGCTTCCAGCCCCTGACAGCTTCAATAGGGCTTCCAGCTCTTGACGGCTTCAATAGGGCTTCCAGCCTTGACGGCTTCAATAGGGCTTCCAGCCCTTGACGGCTTCAATAGGGCTTCCAGCCCTTGACGGCTTCAATAGGGCTTCCAGCCCTTGACGGCTTCAATAGGGCTTCCAGCCCTTGACGGCTTCAATAGGCTTCCAGCCCTTGACGGCTTGAAGACAGCTAAAGGTTTTGAAGATTAAAAGGTCAAGTAAATTCAGTCAAGCTGCTCCTGGGCAGGTGCTTTCGCCGGCGGCTGCTTGGGAGGTGGCGACGTCTTGCCCTGGAGCTGGAGGCCCTTAGGAGGTGCAGGCAGTGGCTGTGGCTGCCTCCAGGGCCGCTGACCCTGCTCATCCTGCCCATCCCTCCTGGAGGTCCAATTAATGTGGAGCTCCTGGGATTGCTGGCTCCTGGATGAGCGGGGATCCTGGGGCTCCTGGCTGCAGCTCCTTTTTATGCTCATTTCATCCAACTGTACCTCCAGCCATTCGTCGATCGACTCGATTGTTCCTGATTGCTCAAATACCCGGTTAATGAACAACCTGATCGACTGGTCCTGGGGCATCTGGGTGTCGAACTTGAGGCTAAGGTGTTGCACCACATCGTTTTGCCAGTGGCCGAAGGTCTCGCCCTGGCCGCAGGGGTTTTCATTAAGTATATAGTTTTAGGGGATGGGGGCTTAGATAGGGACCGCAACAAGGGACACAAACATATAAAAAACAAATATATATATATATATATATATGTACATATTTTTATGTATATTTTTTGATATATATATATATATATATATATATATAATGTATGTATAAACTTTTGCTTGTTACTCCAAGGCCGGCCTCGTCCTTGTACTGGCTGTAAAGCGCCCTCCAGTTCTCTCGCCAGGCGCTTGAGTCTGAGTGCTTTCAAATATAGACATCAGCGGTTTCGTTAAATCCTTAAAAAAAAACGCAAAACTTTGTTACGTGCGTGCAGGTGTCCGGTGCCGCCTGGCTGACTGTTTCGCTGGGGGCCCTTTCCCATCGCGGGAATGGCTCCTCCTGGGCGCCCTCGAGGCTGCTGGCCGGCCATGGCTTGGACCGGCTTGACTTGGCAGCTCCTTGGCTGCCTGACTAAGTAACTCCTAAAGCTGCTTCTTGAGCTTGGGAGCTGCAGCGGCCGAAGATCGATCTCGCTTGGGAGCATTTGCCGCCGAAAAGGGCTGTCCAGCCCTTGAAACTTTACTTGCAGGCTCATGCAGCTGGAGGGTCGATGTGTTTTTCACTCATGCATACTGGCTTATGCAGTCGAGGCCACCGGGCTTCCAGCCCTGGCTTGGAACACTAAAAGACTTGAAACTAGGACTCCAAAAACTTAGCCTTCTCCTTGAAGGCCTCTGCCAAAGAGCCGCCCTCGGCGAGCTTCTTCTTCATCTTGGCAACCTGAAGCTTGGTCTTATCCCGACCATGCTTCCTGCACACGATCTGGAAAAGCTGCCTAGAACCGTCGACTCTCAATGCGACACTGTCGTGGTAGTGCATGATCTGCAGCTTGCCCCTTTCAGCCTCCGTCAACTCGGGCTTGTCCTTGTCCTTGGGGGCCTGATGATGGAGAAAACATTCAGGGCTTCACTTAAATACATCTTCCTAGATAGAAATATATGCTTACGAACAACAAAAATATTTTTCTAATGTTAAGATTAGAGGCCGGCTTCTTCTTCGGCTTGTCACTGTCCTTTTTCACAGGCTTAGCGGCTGCAGCTGGCTTCTTCAAAACCTCGCCCTCCCAAGACTTCCTGATTCGAGCCTTGCTGCCTGGCACGGGACTGCCTTCGGCTTCCTGGCTCAAACTCGTCTTGGCGGTCTTGGGAGTGTCTGGAAGCTCCAGATCCCTGGTCCGAATCTTTCGAAGCGGACTGCTCGCAGGGGCTAACGACCGTAGCTTTGGCGGCTTGGTCGCAGGGCTTGGCGTCCCTGTGCTCGGCCGCTTGGTGTTGTGGGTCTCCGCCTGCTGGAGCTTGGCTGGTGAGGCCGACACTTCTGGAAGAAGCAGCGCCCTGAGTTCCTCGAGATCCTTGATCTCGAACTGGGTCGCCTTGCTGCAAGCCTCCTTGAACCTGGTGTCGTTGCACAAGCGGCGAGCATGAGCCATGACGGTCAGCAGCATCTCGGCCGTGTCCCCAGCCCAAGCAGTTTGCTTGCTCAGCGGGGCCTGGTGGATGAGGTCCGGGTAGTCTTTGCTGACCTTGGCCAAGCACTCCTTCAAGTCCTTGTACTTGAAAGCCAAGCCGCTCTCCACCTCCTGGAGTTTCTTGAGCAAAACCGTCGCCTTTGAAAGCCCTTTGGCCTGGACAGCACTCGTCTTGGCTAGGTTGCCGTAGGGGTCGAAGTTGAAGGCGGCCTGGACACCTAGGAGCTTGACGTGTTTCTTGAACACGTCCAGCAAGTGCTCCTGGTCCACCTCCGGCTTGGCGAAGTTGCGTTCGCCGCCGCGGCCAGCAGCTGCGGGGCTGCCCATGGCTCTAAGAACCTGAGGACTTGCCTGGCGGCCTGCAGCACTTAAACCCGACAGACCTGCCTGGAGCTTGAAGCCCAGGACCTGGCTAGGCCTGCCTGAAGCATGCAGCGTACTATGAAAAAAAACTTCAGCTCAGGTCCTCTTCTCGCCAAGACAATTTTGCATGTCAAGCAGGGCTTGATCGATCTCGGCTTGAATTATACCCTGGCAGTAGCCTGCCCTGGATTAGCACTTGAATTAAGCCGCTTCTAACAAACGACCCCTTGAATCTTGGAAACTTGAGGCTTGTCCTGGAGCTCACCTCCCAGCCGCCTGGCACTGGTCAGATCCTCGGACCTGGCGCACGGGCGGCTCAATTTCAAAAAAATGTAGCGTCCACGTGCTCGATGATCCTCGCCCGCAACTCCTGGTCGCTCCAGGACTGGTGTACCTTAAGCCCCACCCGCACTGCTTCCGAAAGTAGTTGAGGCTTCGTCATTCGGCTCAAGGGGCCTGGGTTTGCTTGGAGAGCGATCAATGAAGCATCGTTGAGCAACAAGCGGATGTACCCGTGCTCCTTCATCTTCATGTGCTTCGTCGCCTCCGGCCAGCGCTCGGGGTCGATGTCCATATCATTCTCGATCTTGTACATGAGGTACTCCAAAAAGTTCAGGAAGCCCACTTCCTTGTCGACATCCCTTAGCTCTATATAAGTAAAAAATTAAATACATAGTCTATATACGGCATATGTATAAGTATATATATGTATATATATATATATGTATATGTATATGTGTTCATGCCAAGAATCTCCAGCTGGTCTAGGTAACCTCTCCGCCACATCACGACCAAGGACCTCGCGACTTTGCCTGGAACCTTGGCGTGAAGCAGCTTGGCATAGGCCTGGACGACAATTTCATCATCGCCCTGCATCTTGACCTAGCCCAAAGTTCCTGGCAGCTTGGCTTGAAGACGGCTGCCATGCACGAGATTTGAAGCATGATTCCCCCCCTTCTTCCTTCTTAGGGCCGTCCGGCCCCTGGAAGCTTTGGTTGCAAGACGGCTGCCATGCACGAACCTGCCAAAAATGATTCCCCCGCCTTCTCCCTTCGTGGGGCCGTCCGGCCCACATCCCATCTCTTCTGTCTGTCTCCTCCGTCTTTCTGTATCTCTGTCTCTCTGTCTCTCTCTCTCTCTCTCTCTCTCTCTCTCTCTCTCTCTCTCTCTCTCTCTCTCTCTCTCTCTCTCTCTCTCTCTATTTGGTTAGCAAACTGGGGCCGCCCGGGCCGTCGTTTCAGCAAGCTGAAATCAATAGAAACATCCACCTCAAAATCAATAGAAAATCTCCATAAAATCAATAGAAATTTTCCATAAAATCAATAGAAATTTTCCATAAAATCAATAGAAATTTTCCATAAAATCAATAGAAAGACCACGATTAAAATCAATAGAAGTCAACACTCAAAATCAATAGAAACACGTACCAACAAAAGTTCCAAACGATTGAAATTTCCTCAAATTCAATAGAAGTTTCGTGTGCCTCCAAAATCAAGCGGCCGATTGAAAAAAATCAAGCGGGCGTCCTCTGGGTTGGGATATCGTCTTCTTGCTTTATCCCTCGTGCCTTTTAGTTGTGATATCGGGCTTCGGCTCTAGGATTTAGGCTAAAGGCTACACCCTGAGCCCTAAAACCCCAAACCCTGACCATAAAAACCTTAAATCCCTAGACCCTAAAACCCTGAGCCCTAAAACCCAAACCCTAGGCCAAAGCCCTAAATGCCTTGCCAAGCAGCTCTCAACACTGGCATGAAGCCATCGAAAAGCTCAATTCGCGCGGAGCCCGTGTCGGAGATGTAGTGTGTATATGGAGGGAAATACCTCACGGTTCAGTTTTCACTCTTTTCTGAGCTCCACTGCATGCGCCTAAGGCAGGAAACTGGAGAAAGTAGGGGCCCTGCTAATTGAATCGGGATTTGGGCTCCTTTATGGTATACTTCCAAAAACGCACCTTCAAGAATGTTGGCAATTACCTAGGCTTCTATAGTATTCACCCCTGCTTCCCACATGAGCGATTCCAAAAACCGATGCCCCAGACCCTAAAACCCAAACTCGAAACCAAACCTAAACTCCCAAACCCTACAGACCTGGGACCTCAGACGCGCACCTCATAGATAACATAATTAATGATAATTAATGACAGGGAAACGAATAGCATTAGAGACTCTTGTGCCCAATCTGCACTTAAAGGGAACTCCAGAAAGTTGGAATATGGATTAATGGTAGGATCCCCGATAATTTAAAGGGGTTACGATAATGATATTCCAACTTTCTGGCTTCGACTGTAAGCAACCCATGCATTCCAGAGGAGGAGGATGCTCCTTGCATGTTGGGGTTTAGGTTTCAGTGTTAGCGGTTTAGGGCTTATAGGTTTAGTGTTAAGCCTTTTGGTTTGGGGTTTAAGTACCTATTTGTCGGGTATCATGGGAACTAAAAGTTAACCTTTTTGAATAAATAGGGATTATAGAGGGCCTATACTACCCGAAAGCAGGTTAAAGGTTACCTACTCGACTACTAGGAGAACCTTTGGCAACTCTCTTGCGGCCACAGGTGGCCCCTTTATCCCAGAGGCCTAGCCAAGGTGAAACCAGGGGATCTTCGGGGCTTAGCTTAGGGTTCAGGGTTTAGGGCTTAGGGTTTAAAAGTTTAGGATTTAGGGTTTGGGGTGAGGGTTTAGAGTTGAGGGTTTAGGGTTTAGGGTACTATATAGCCCCTAACACGAAAAACCCCCTGTTGCCAGCTTCCAATTGTGCTGTCAAGGGCTGTTCAATACGGGTGTAGGTGCAAGTTTCCTCCAAGTGTGCAAGTAGAGGGGCCGTAATAATAATTACCACAGGACATAGGGCCATACTATACTCTAAATATGGTATGTAGCCCTAGGAATAGTCATGTTGGTATTTTTCCGGCTTCCATGTTATACGGGTTCCTGTATATGCTGTCAATATAGTAAGTAACGCTGGGAATAATATTGGTACTTATTCTGGCTTCTGCGTTGAACGGGTTCCTTTCCCTAAGGCTCCATGTACCCATATAGTACATACTTAGAACTTAAAGTACCTATATAGGGACCCCTTTAAGGCTTAAGTATCTACTATAATGGTACATGGGAGTTTCCGAAAATAGGGGACCCTAATATAGTACCCTAGATAGTAGGATCCTTATTACAAGGACCCCCAAATAAGGTACGCCTAGTTTTCGGAAACTCCCAAACCCTAAACCCTATAGATCCCTTAAAGGATCCCTTTAAGGAAGACTGAAAGGATCCCTTTAAAGGTACCCCCGATTTTTCGGAACCCCCCATCCCTTTGGGTATCAAGGCCGGGGGACCTTTTCTCGTCCCGCTCAATCAGCTTCAGCAAAGCAGTCGCCCTGCAAAGATCTTCGGATCGAGGTCACTTGGGAGTTTCCGAAAAATTGGGGTACTGTATTTTGGTGTCCTCATAATAAGGATACTACTATTTAGGGTCCTCTATTAGGGTCCCCTTTTTTCGGAAACTCACACTTGAACTGAGTATTACCCCTCGTACAGTAACAGTCTATACTAGGCCCACGATCAAGGGCTGAGTATATCTATAACCTATCTTGAAGATCGTTTATTCAACTGTTCCTGAGTGGGGGTAGTATCCAACAGTACAAACCCTAAACCCTAAAGACCCTAAACCTTCAACCCCCCAATGGAAAAACAAGTCTTTGGTTTGAGGGTCCATGTAGGGCTTCGGTTTGACTTAGATCCTCCCACCACGTTCTACTACACCTCCACATACTTAGTTGCTGAGTTCTCAAGTCACCAAAATTGTACACTTTCAGTTCTATAAGGGGCTGTATTATCCCCAAAAAGTGTAAAGTGTACTCACTCAGCTACTAAGCATGGCCTTAGGGACCATGGTCCTGGGGAGGCTTTTTCGGGGAGAGCGTGGGCTCTTGAGTTTAGGGTGCATGCGAACCCAAACCCTGATCCCTAACTGCGAAGCTCGGATTCAGACTCCATCCGAAAGCCGCTGAAGGCTCCAAACTCCAAGAAATCAGACCACACATCGCAACAGCAAGAACGGCAGAGCGAGCAATGCCATCGAACTTCCGCATCATTACGTTAAAAGAGGAAAAGAATGCAAGTGTAGCAAAATGCAGACTCCATGCTCAGGGCAAGGGCTTCATAATCCTGCAGTAGATGTCCAAAACTTGGAAACCTAATAGCCTCAATCCTTACGAGTAACGTATAGGGAATCCCGGCACTAGTTGGGCTTAATCCGGCTTCCAACTTTTACGGGGGTTGTTGACAGTATAGCTACGGTACACCTGGAAGAACCTTAAGAGCTACATCGCAAGACCGAATGCTGCCCCTAAGCCCTGAAACCAAAACCGTATAAACCCTAAACCGTCTAATATGGGGGCCTTAATAAATAGAATAGGGTTTGGGGTATATTAAAAGTCGTGAGAAGAAGCCCTCAATATAGTATTCGTATATTTATTTAAGCTCCTGTTTATGGTAAAGTCCCACTACCACTAACCCCCGACTGTGCCTGGTTGCATTGTCCGGTGCATCGCGCACCGTGGCCAAGAGACGCCAGTAGATGCCAAGAAGGACGCCTCGAAACTGAGGAGACTCTACATGGGAGTTTCCGAAAAGTAGGGGTACCTTTAGAGGGATCCTTGAAGGGCTCCTTTAAAGGGATCTATAAGGGTTCTATACAGGGTTTAGGGTTTAGGGTTTGGGAGTTTCCGATAATTAGGCGTACCTTAGAAGGTTCCGACTATTTCGGTGCTATATTAGGGCCCCCTGTTTTCGGAAACTCCCACATTGGACTGGGGCTAGAGTAGCCTCGTGTAGTGAGGGCATGACTATAGTGGCTATAGCTGCAATGTGCAGCCAAGATGCCGACGATCTTCTGCTTGTCGCAAGGCTTGCCATCTGGATGATTTCGCGTGCAGCAGCTGAATGCACCGCCCGCGACATCCAGGACTGCATCCTGAGCAGCTGGGTGGTGTGCAGGCTGCTTTAATTCAAGTATGCCGCAAAGAGGACTTTGCAGGAGCAGTCCTACCGATCATAGAAACTATCGGAAATGTAGCTATGAGCGGCTGAGCATAGAAACAGGATCTGAACCGACTTGCGCACAGAAAGAATCTAAGCTGACATAGCAGCGCGCTGAATCACAAGAGCCAAATTCAGCATGGCGACGTCATCAAAGATGGCTGCCCAATCGTTGCTGATTCCGTCTTGGGTGCACATGAAGGCCTGTGCTGCAGGGCAAACCTTGAAAACGAAGGCAAGAACAGCTCCAGATGGGAGTTTCCGAAAATTAGGGGTACCTTATTTTGGGGTCCTTACAATAAGGGTCCTACTATTTATTCTATTACGGTCCACTTCGGAAACCCCCAAATGGATGTCAAGCTCTTGAGGCCCTTCTCACCTACTTCTCCCGTATCCTGGGGAAGTAACGGGTAACCTTGCGATTACATAGGGACTATCGTATCCCGAAGATAAAAGATACCTATACCCATCTACTAAGCACAACACTGCTTTAGCTCGAAGATATCTCGGTCTCAGGCTTCGGAATATTTTGGGCTTAGGGCGGTCTGGCCTTTCCAGGCCTCGGTTAGTGAAACCGCAGAAAAAAAAGGCTCACCGCAACTAAACTCGAAATCCTCCAGACTCTCTATACCCCGACCCCCCTTTAACCCTCCGAGCCCCAGGTATGTAAGACAGAGCTGGCATAATTTCAAAAACAAGGATGCCCAGCAACCTAGGAATAAAAAGGGCTCCCTTTTTGGTATTGAGTAACTTTATGAGGAACCTGGGACTACAAGAAGGGAATAAGGGTACTACTGGGCATCCGAGAAAAAGTAAAGCGTGAACTTCAGCCAAGAGTCCAAAGGACCCAGTAATTAGGTACTCGATTTTGGGATGGTAGTTAGGTTAGGATTTTGGAAAATATGTTATTAGGTACTTGGACCCTTGGGGTACGGTTCTAGGGTAGTAGTCATGTAAGTTAGTATTTGGGAGAGTATATGATTGTCAGGTACTTGGACCTTTGGGGTAAGGCCTGAACTTCAGCCAAATAAGCCACCTTTTCAGGGGTTCATATAAGGAAATCAAAAAGGTAGCGTCTTCAGGGTTAAGGTAAACCCTACATCGCGCCAAGAGTCCAGGCGCCCATCTGAGTTCCAGCCGGCAGTTCCTCAATGTGTTGTTGGCCAAGGGCTCAGGTTGCAGCTTGGCCCAGAGCGCCGAATACCCCTAAATTAAGGGGTATACCCTCAACTGTAGAGGCTTTACTAGTCTGATTTAAGGTACATATTCCCTAATTAAGGTGTATTGGCACCTCTGGGGAGTTGGGATTCTGTAAGCTCCAGGCCTAGTTGCTTAAAGGGTGCTTTCATGGGTCTTGGGCACCTCAACCTTGTTTTGCTTCATGTTTATTTATGTTAGTATACTGCCTGTTACAGACAACCTCGGAATGTTAAGGGCTTGATACGGGTTCAGAAAGGTTCAGGGTATACAGGTTTAAGGGTTGCATGTGGCGACATGAAACCTCGTCTGTACCGCTGATCTTGGAGCCTCTATGGTGCTACTTGCCATCCACTATCCTCCTCGAACCAGGAACAGCCATGCAAATCTGAACCAAAACAATCACGCCCAATCTCTCCGTATGGATTCAGTCTGCTTGGAAGACATGAGTGCTTCCAGGGGTTGTGCTTAGGACATTCCGCATTTTTCGAATGAAGGCTGACTGGAATATACCGGTTGAGGTATATCTTCAGCACGCATCATCAAAGCATTGCGTCTCAGTGATTGCTCTCGCTTCATATGGGCTTTCGGACACCTTGGACGAACTGCGTCTGCGAATGGCTGACTGCTAGAAATCGTATAATCCTCGCTTCAGCCGCGCTCTTCCAAGCACGACAGCCGTCAGCATGCATGAAGGCTTCCGTCTCGCTTGCATCAGGCGCTCGCACCATCTTCTTCATGCTCACCGCCCAGCACGCCACTGCTTTGTCCAAGAGTCCGCTGCCTTCGAGCATCAGGACGAATATCCCTGGCCAGGCAACTTCCTTTCCGGGGAGCTTGCTCTTTGCAGCATCATGCAGATTGCTGCATGGCCGCAGCACAATATTACGCCCCGCAGATGAGTTGCATGTACATAAATTCCAAAGCGGCCACGACGGCAGCACTACTAACGCTGCTACCCAAGCATAACTCACCCGTTTCTGTAGACGTATCATCTGCAGGGTTTGGCAAACCACTAAGGGCTCAGGGATTACATGGCTTTGGTCTGAGTGGTGGTAAATATTCTAGCAGTATCTTGTTGGTGTAACAGCCGCACCTATCGGGCTCCATCTTTCATATACTAGAAAAACTGAAACGAGATTTGAGCCGTAAACTCTGTCAGGCTTATTTCGTCCTTACCGCATGTGGTTGGTCCTGAAAAGGTCCTGAAACCCTAAAGCAACGTGGGATTTTGTCTAACCAGTGGTTTTGGGGGTTCCCTTGGCTCTTTAGCTCCTTAGTTAATAGGGATTATCATCATCCCCGGCTCCTTAGCTCCCATAATATGAATGGTTAGATGTACGCGTAGCACGGTGCTTAGATTCCCAGACCCGCATAGGTCAGGCAGCACACTTGCTAAGCCTCAAAATCCACAACCCCAGAAGTCTTTTGCCCTAAACCCCCCAACCCCGAAGCCTACAGGGGAATTCCACCGAGGACGCGGCCCTAATATCGACCCTCAGCGGGTGAATCCGGAGTTTTCGCCTCCCCTCCCCAAAACAGAGACCCAAAAAAACCCAAGTGATTCATCCGAACATAGCTGACTAGTTCATATTGAGGATCCGCCAATCTCTACAAAGGCCCTCTGAAGCCCGATAAGACCCCACAAAACCATACAAGACATGTGAAAGTCTGCAAAATCCTGACGAAGACCCTCGTGTTCTTGAGGTCCAAAACAACCCTAAACCCTATAAAGCCTCAACCTTACACCGGTCTCTTTCTAGGAGATGCTTGTTAAAGCCTTTGAAAAATATTAGTCGGCAAGATCCTCTTAAGCCCAATAAGAGCAAATATGGAATGTCCCAAGCCCAACCTAGCCCTAAACCCCAAACCATAAACCCACCCTAAACCCTAAACCCTCAACCCTAGCTTTCCACGTCAGAAAAGGCTCCAAAGCTCAGCTTTTCGAGGCGACACCAAGCGCGGGAGGCATAGGAGTTGATATCGATGTTGTGCCTTGGGGTTTGGGGGTTTAGTAAGGGGTTTAGGGGTTTCGGGGTTTAGGGTTTGGTAGGGGTTTAGAGTTTAAGCTTTGGGGGTTAAGGGTTTAGCATTCAAGGATGCCTGGTAAGGGTTCTGTCAAGGCGTCTACCAGGGATTTACGTATAAGGTGCTGTGTCTCTAGGTTTGTTATGCAAACGGATGCTGTATTGAAATCTGCTCAGGGTTACACAAGGGATTTCATGTAAGATGTTGTGCGTCTGGGTGTGGGGCTTGTAGGGTTTTCGCTATAATAAAAAGCCTCAGACGCTGCGCCCTTTTTGGGAGATTCAAAAGAAGGTGTTCTTCTTTCGGTTTTAAGGAAGGGCCATGGAAGGGTAGAGGCAAAAGGCTTCTAATTTCGCTCGGGTTGGAGTTTAGGGTTCCGGGCTTCGAGTATAGGCGCATCAGGAGGCTCAGGGTTCAGGAGTTTCGGGCTTTGGGGTTTCGGGTTTCCGGGTTTGGATTAAGGCTTCGTGGTTTAGGGTTTTTTGTCTGTTGGGTTTAGGGTTTAGGTGGTTTGGGGAGATGAAATCCCAGGCGCCCTGTGTCTGCGTGGATGCAGGGCGGCACCACAGAGAGGAAGACTGAACAGTAGGACGCGTAGACTGACCTGGGCTCACTAGTTGCCGTGTCGCGGCCCGGCGCTTCTTTACGAAGTTAAGCTACTCAAGGTTCCTTGAAAGGTTTATGGTTTACGGAAGCTCTTTAAGTTACATCATCATAAGGAAACCATAACATTCAATTACTATAGATGCCCATTACTACTTCATCGTTGGGATAGAATTAAAAATGTACATGTTTATTCCTTATTGGGTTTTAGTACCCATAAAAACGTTACGCAACTATGACAAATATTATGGTAGCTTACACCATGATAAACACCCTGGATATGTCGGTGCCTGTACTCGATCGCTCTCAAGAGTGAAGCGTTTTGGGGGCTTCACGTCTTGACTGTTGCCTGGGGTTCTAGGGTTTTAGATATGGGGGTTTCAAGTCTTGACTCATTGACCATGTGCCTTGGGGTTTAGGGCTTTGGGTCTTGCACATTGGGGTTTGCAGCATGAGGCTTTCAGGTCTGGAGCCGTTTAGGTTTCACTTAACATGTCCATTGTCCCAGTGTTAGATGCGCATTAAAGTACCCCGAAAAGGTAACGGTCATCTACCCTACTACTACTACTACTACTACTACTACTACTACTACTACTACTACTACTACTACTACTACTACTACTACTACTACTACTACTACTACTACTACGTTGAGGGTTCGGCGTTCCATGGTCTAGGGCTTGTGCAGGATTTGGCCCGGTCCCAAACCTTTTAGTTTAGGGCTTAGGGGTTAGGGGTTAGGGTGTTTGGGTGTGTGGGTGTTAGGGCTTTAGGGTGTTAGAATACAGGGAAACCTTTTATGCCCAAAACCGACTTGTGAGCCACTAGGAGTCAATACAGCAAACCCCATAAAGTTGGAAACCGGACTAGGGCCAAAGAGTGCTGGGATTCCCTATACATGACTCTTAAGGATTGAGGCCATCGGGTTTCCAACTCTTGGGCGTCTACGGTAGACCAGGGTTCTGGGGTTGGGGATCGGGGAAGGTGGCACGTAGGTCAAATCAGAATGATAACTAAGCTGCAAGCTGGTAGCCGCCGTCAAGATACTTCTTCCAAACCCCAGCCGCAAAACCCCCAGCCCCCTTTTAGTCCCTAAATCCTGAACCCAGACCCTAAACCCCTGAACCCATGGCCCAAAACCCCATAAACCCCTCACCACTGAACCTGCTTGCAATCTACTTACCCAGTCAATGAGCCTCTAGACACGACATCAGAACCCTTTGACTCAGGAGCCTGGCTGTAGCATTTGGGGTTTAGGCTTTGGGGAGAAGACTTCAAGTGTAGCATTAGTACCTACTTCGTGAGTCTGAAGTCTATAAAAAATAGCACCTACTGTTGGGCTGTTTGAAGTGTCAGGGTGACTGACAGTATTTGAGGGCTCACGACTAGCTTTGATTACGAATGGTTGTCCGTGCCAACTAACTAGGGTTCGAGTGACTATACGTAAGTGTAGCTTTCATCATAGCCCTGCGTTCCTCTAGGAAGGGGCCCTCAGCCCCTATGCTACCCATGTTTCCCGGTCACTCGCTGGTACAGGACTATGAGGCCCCATGAATCTGAAAGGAGAGGTGCAAAACGACTTGGGCGTTTCCGCTTGTCCTTCCTTGCCACCTCTCGATTAAGTATCGCGGGTTTGGGGTGTAGGGTGTATGTGGAGGTGTCCAGACAAATGGACCACAGTTAAATGGTCTAGACCTTACCTCAAGGCGTCCAGCGGCAAAGAGTTGATGGCGGTTTGCTGCTGGAAGGTGTTGCGCTGCGGGATGGAACCTGGATGCAGGAGTCTGTCGGGAAATTTCAAGAACAGGCTGGCTGTAAGTTGTATCGATGTTGTGCGCGTGCATTTTACCGCGTAGGATTGTAGGGCTCATGCTTCAGCATGCGAGGCCTTGTGCGATTGACAACTGCCCTTGTAAACACACTCTTACTTGCAAACGACACACCCTCCTACAGAAGCTTGCACAATCAGACAAGGTCTTCGCGAAGTTGTACTACCCATAGGCCCCAAAGAAGTTCCTTTTGGGGATTACCTTATAGGATTCTAAATATGAATCCCCAAAAGGAACTACTTTGGGGCCTTAGGGTATGCATATGTTACTGAATCCACAGTCGCAGTACCAATTACTAGTTGTTCAGGCTCTCCCTACTTGTCGAGTATGATGGGGAACTAAAGGTTAACGTTCTTGGTTACACAGGGTTTATGTAGGGACTATACTACCTGATAAAGGTTAAAGGTTACCTACTCGACTACTAGGTTGTTCAGGCTCTCACATTACAAGCTCTGAACTCCGAGGCCAGGCATTCCGATAACGATCTCTAGGGATTTCATCCCTAAGACTCCAGTTACGCAAATTAGCAGGTTACCAAACAAATTACACATATAGTATATATATATATATACATACATATACATATACATATACATATACATACATACATAATTAATAGATACATATGTATATATACATATATACATATATATATATACATATATATATATATATACATATATATATATATACTATATATCCCAGTAATTCATGATTTAGGCCAGTGGAGCTCTAAGGTATGTTTAGGGTCTAGGATTTAGGGCCTGGTGCTTAGGGTTTGGGGCTCTGCATCGGGTCTAGAGCTTTTAGGGCTCACCCCAACTCGGTCGTAGCTGTCTCACTCTCGCGGCGAAGGCAGCATCTAGCACAACTCAGTACTCCAACAACCGCCCTTCACCCTAAACCCTACTTGGGGGGTCTTTAGGGGACTTAGTAAGGGCTCCTTTAAAGGGGATTCTAAGGATTCCTTTAAAGGGCTCTATAAGGGTAGTATAGGGTTTAGAGTTTAGGGACTTAGTAAGTAGTTAGTAAGTAGACTTATAAGTACCCTAAAAGGGACCCTAATTGGGGTTATGGTACTTATAAGTCCCTAAAGTAACCGGTTACTAAGTCCCCCGACCCTCCAAGTAAGCCCTATAGGCCCTGAACCTGAAACCCCATGCCCTAACAGGGGCCGTGATGTTCAGAGCCCATATTTGGCCTCAGGAGCCTCCGGAACTCGCATCTACAATAAGGCTCATCTGGGTAGTTGCGAAAATTAGGGTTCCTAGGTTCCTTTAAAGGGGTCTATAAGGGTTACCATAAGGGATACTATAGCTGGCGTAGATATGGGTAGTTGTCAAAATTAGGGTCCCTTTTTGGGCACCTTGAACATTAGGTGCCGTATTGTAATAAGGACCCAAAAAGATACCATAATTTTGACAACCACTCTTTAAGGGCTGCTGTAAAGGTCTCCGGATACTACAAGGCTGATTTTGGGGGGGCTTACGGGCTATGGGGGCTGAGCGTTCTTCAGTCTTGGGTTCCTATAGGGGCGACTGTGAGGTTTACATTCATAGATGCTACTACACAGCTCAGTGTTGGGGTTTTTTCGGCCTATGGCGGCTTAGCGTTCTTCAGCAAGGGTCTACTATAGGGGTTACTACGAGGCTGAGTTTTGGGGTTTAGCCTATGGAGGCTTAGCTTAGCGTTCCCTAAGGGTCCATGTACCCATATAGAGATACATGGCCCCAAAGTACCTATATAGGGACTACATTAGGGCCAATGTATATACTATATGAGTACATGGACCCTTAAACTATAGAACCCTTACAGATGCCTTATAGAACCTTTATAGTAACGATTCAAGGAACCCTCAAAAAGAACCCTATATGAGCACATGGACCCTCAGAGGTTCTTCAGCAGGGGTGCAGTAGTCCACCCAGACCCAGCTGCATTTGATGCCGCGAGTCAAGACCTCCTCCACAGCCTTGACCATGGCCCTTCGCTGTTAGGGTTTAGGGTTTGGGGCAAGTTTGGGTTTTTCTTTTATAGGGTTTAGGGCTTACAGGGTTTAGGGTTTATAGGGTTTATAGGGTGTTTAGGGTTTATGGGGCTTATAGGGTTTATGGGGTTTAGGGCCCTGCGCGTTTTGGGCCGTTGGGGTTCAACGCAAGGGGTCCGGTTCTCGAGTTTTGGTGGCGCTTGGGTATGTTATCCTATCTTTATGATTCTACTTAGAATAACCAATGTACCTTTCACAAAGCATACGATCATAAAAAAGTTAGTACATTTACCCTTTGTAAAGTACCGTGGTTACTCTAGGTAAGCTGCCTCAAGCTCAAAGCCTGGGGTCTGCGCTGAGCTAAAATCAACGAACGTTCCTCCTACTGAATTGTGCAAACGTAGAGCTAAACAAATGAAAGAGCACCTCGCGTCCAAGCCCTCTATCTCCCAAGATCTTCTCACCCTCATCGAAATCGTCGAATCCGAACCCTGAGGGCCCAAGTCCAAGTAGTCCTTATTTATGGTGCTGGGAACCCAAGCAAGGTCCCAAAACAGCTCATGCCAACCCCTTGCACGCCGGTTCTGTACAAAAGTTGAAACTTTCAGAATCGACTACCTTTTAATCCACACACTCGTTTTGAGGGTTGGATCCTTGGGGGCTGGATCAGGGGGGTTTGAAGGCCAAAACCAATTTCCTCAATAGTGCAGTTCAATATACCGATTTAAGGTTTCAAGCTGTTGTAGTATTAGCTTATTTATGTACTTTATTAGGAATTTCAGTGCCGGGGGCACGGCCGTTGACCAAAACATTTTAAAGCACACTGGGAAGCCAGCGTGAGGAAACCCTTTTTTGCCAAACATTTTTGCATTTGTCCAAGCCGGATGTATTGAGCGATGGTGTTCGCTTCTGTCCAAGCCGGATGTGTTGGAAGCTGAAACGTGGTCCTTTGTCACGTGCCACTGCTTGGTTGGCTTGGTTGCTTGGTTGGCTTGCTTGGCTTGCTTGGCTTGCTTGGCTTGGTTCGACTCGCCCTACCCATCCTGCACGCCCAAGCTCAGAGTGGTCTTAGAGACCGCTCCAGTCGGGCTCGGACCACGTGAGCAATGGGTCCTTGATCCGTGTGGGACAGCGTCGCTGGCCGGGCGCTGGGGATTTACTCTGTGTGCTGCTCGCCTGTCCAGCCAGGTGGTGTGTCCGCCGCGGGGTGAAATGCACACAGATTGCAGGGAAGGCCTCGCTACTATTAATAAATACTATGCCACGTACCCACACCACGGTCGAAGTATTAACTTCGATCACTGCTGCTTGCCGGCATGGCCCCGCATGGCATCTTATGCTGTGCCTCATTGACAGGTCTTCAGTAACCGGCGCGTTGCGCAGCGATTCCGGTGCACTCGATGACGAGCATGACCTGTCCTCTTGCGGGCCGGTATGCAAGGCAATCGGATTTCAGCGCTCCGCATAGGGCAAAGACGGCGCATACTCAGCAGGGTGACCCCATCTTGGCCGAATGGGGGTGGCATTTAAAGAAGTCTCCAGTCCGCATGACTGTCAGAGCACACTCGTGTTTGCAAAGACGCTGGGGAGGCCGTTACTGTGTCGGCATGGCATTGCTTGGCTTGGTTGATTCGATTCTGCAGTGGCATCAATTCTGGTAGCATCAATCAATTGTGGTAGTCAGCATGGCATTGCTTGGCTTGGTTGATTCGATGCTGCAGTGGCATCAATTCTGGTAGCATCAATCAATGTCAATGGTGGTAGTCAGCATGGCATTGCATGGCTTGATTGCTTCGATTGTTGCGGTGGCATCTGATTCGATTTTGCGGTGGCATCAATTCTGATACCATCAGTTCTGGTAGCAGCAACTGTGGTAGTCAGCATGGCATTGCTTGGCTTGGTTGATTCGATTTTGCAGTGGCATCAATTCTGGTAGCATCAGTTCTGGTAGCATCAATTTGTCAATTGTGGTAGTAACAATTGTGGTAGCGCTAATTGTGGTAGCATGATTTGCGGTAGTATAACTATTTTGGTAGCATCAATGGCAAGGTCTGCCTGGCATGTTTTGACAGAGCCGGGGGGGGGGCAGGGCTGGCATGAAATTTGCATTTTGCCAGGTGAAGTCGTTTCAGAAGGCATGTGAGTGATATTTGCGCGGAAGGCTCAGTGTGTGTGTGTGTGTGTGTGTGTGTGTGTGTCAGCTTGCTTGGTGATTGATTGTGAGCCCCTTGTAACCTAATGCTGCAGTTCTGGCTCAAGTGGTCTGCCTGGCATGTTTTGACAGAGCCGGGGGGGGGGCGGGGCTGGCATGAAATTTGCATTTTGCCAGGTGAAGTCGTTTCAGAAGGCATGTGAGTGATATTTGCGCGGAAGGCTCAGTGAGTGTGTGTGTGTGTGTGTGTCAGCTTGCTTGGTGATTGATTGTGAGCCCCTTGTAACCTAATGCTGCAGTTCTGGCTCAAGTTTTGCTATGTCGAGTGTGGCCCTCCAGCATCTCCCTGAGGAATTGTGTCTCGAGGAGCAGGGCCAGGATCTCCGGAAAGCACAGCAAGCAATCTACTTGCTCTATTTGCTCTGCCCGAGAAAGGCTGGTGATCTTGTGACACCTGCAGTACATTTCAGACAATTTCCAATTGAGAATAATTTGCTACCTGACATGTCATTGTTTAAATGCAACAACATTTGAGGAGAGCTTTCAAACGGGGAAGAGACGGCATCCAGAAACCAGAAGCCTGGATTCTGTCAGCCTGTAACAAGAACGTTAGAGAGCACTTTGGCAAAGATTGATGCAGCCCTTTTTTTTGGCGTTTAAACTTTCATCATTACAATTCCGTGTTCATTCGAGGCACAATCAAAGCTTGGGGATAGCATACAGCCAATTCGATGTCGGGAACTACGGCAGCAAGAAAGCCGCAGACGCCTCAACGAAAAGTTCCGGTGACTTGGGGCGGGGCAAAGGAAAAGAAGAAGACGACTCGGACGATTGGGGACGGTGGAGACCACGAACCGGATATTGATGCTACTGATGACGATGTGAGGTCAGTTTTGGTGGGCGGCAAAACCTATGTTTGGCCGAAGAGAGTGGTGATCGTTGGTTATGGGGTTGCCGCCCATGGAAATCGTCCATCACCTCAGATGGCAGACTTGTTGGAGAAGTTGGACAGGGAAAGTAACTTTTCTAACAAATGGGAGGTTCGCTTGCAGGTGCAAATGCACGTGTCGAAGCTTCATGACATTTGTACATTTTTCATTCATTTAAGTTTCACTCAATTGACAATTGAGGGCAGTGACAGTGACAGTCATGGATGGAAGCCAAGGGAGGCCCAAGGAGGAAGGTTTGGCAGAGAATGTGGCCTATACCCGCATATCATGGAACAGGTGCCTGGTCGAACAGGTGTTGCTTCATGAATCGAGTTGTATAATAATTAATTTTAATTTTAACAAGAATTCACCCTAATGACCGAGGTGTATAGTCATCCCGCAGCGCTCAAGACGCTCCACTTCATCCTCAATTTTCCCGACAAGTTGCTCAGGCTTCTCGAGTCTTTGAATGATGAAGGTCTTGGAGGTTTTTTTTAGGTTCAGGGACTAGGATAATTATAACCCTCCTATGTGGTCCTTCAATTGTCAGGATCTGCTGTTCGGCGGGATGGCACAGGACGTGTGCCATGATTGCGTTGGTCATGGCTCTCTTCCAAGTCGCTGTGCTGAACTGACTCATTGTTCCAGGTGACACTCAATTGTCTAGTTTTTGTAAGTATATCAGCTGTCAGTGCAGGTCTGTGGCATCGAATGCGTCGCATGGTTGGACACTTTAGTCCAGAAGCACAGAAAGGAAGATTACAGAGCCATCGCTGCCGATCAACAGCACATTATCGACTTCGCCAATGGCCATGACGTGTCGCTGAGCAGCTTCAGATTTTCGAATGTTGTTTTGAGGTTGTAATATGTAAATATTTACATGCAATCCATGGTTCTGCCAAAGTGTGCATCAGGAAGCAGAAGCATCTCCTGCCGTCCATTGGTTGGTCGTCGCATGAATGGGGGGCAGCATTGCAAAATGCTTGGACCACATGGACCGACCAATTTGCAAATCAGAATGATTGGGCTTCCATTCAGATGTGCCTGGACTCGAATTCCGCATTGATTTGATTTGCAGTCTGCCCTGTAGTGCAAACACGTACCACTTTGACTCAGGAACTTGAAAACAAGAATGGTCAAGGACAAGCAGGAACATCCCGTGGACCTACCTTCCAGGACATTTCAGAAGCTTCAGAAGCGAAATCAGAAGACGAAGTCAAGAGGAACTGCTGCAGCAGCAGCAGCTGGGAGCAACACTACATTTTCGCTTCAGCTTCAAGAATTAATAATAACATTTCAGTCACAATTGACATCCTCAATTGAGTGTGTGTGTGTGTGTCGTCTTCAATGCAAAGCATTTGAGGTGCTGCCAGATGCCAAAAGAGCACGAACTGCTCCGCTTGAGATCCCGGAGACAGATGTCGATGACGC